TTCAAGTCATCTTCACTTTCAGCAGACAAGACTGTGTCATCTGCATATCACAGGTTTTGAATCAGGTTTCCTCCGACCCTGAAGCCACGGTCTTCATATAATTCACTTTCTTAAATTTGCTCAGCATACAGATGGAATACTATGATATAAATCATAAACTACAAGACAAGCATGGATTAGGTGATCGTGCTCAACTAGAAAGAAAGCTAGAGGAGGAGAAAATTAAAATCAGAGCAGTCCTGAGTCCAAAGTGCACAGTCCTGTGTGAGGAGGGATCCCAGCACGGGGGCTTCAGATGTGACTTCATTCTGCCCTTGTGTTCCTGCTCTAACTTGCCACGTTCATGCTCTAACTTGAATCCCAGAAAGTGTCCTAACTCTGGAATAGGTTTGATCGCTCAGCCCCAGGTCTGACTTTTCAAAAGAACATCGCCTGTCTGTCTCTGCAGCCACCCCTGGGCAGTTTAAAACCTCCAGATTTTCAGCAAGGAGCTTAGTGCTTAGGGCTAGTACTACCTAAGAACTCTGTCTGTCCTCAGTTTGACTGGAAAATAGTCCCCAGGTTTCTCTCAGCTTCCCCAGAACTCCTGCACATCCTGGAAGAGTCCTTTCCCTCCACAAGGAACAAACTGCATTTTCTGGATGTAAGAATGCTTCCTCCTGTTACAATACAACTTTTGAACACAGAGATGTCAGGGGGAGGCAGAGAATCATAAAATTAGAGAGATTCCCGGGGAAACTGTGAGATGGAGAAGACTCCCCGGGCTATAGCCAGAAACCTGCCCTTAAACCACATCTGCATCTGCCCCTGGGTCTGAATCCTGAGCTCAGTGTGTCCGGAGCACCCCCTGCTGCCCGTCCCTATGCCGGCAGGGGAGGTTTCTGTCTGGGCTCACACTGACTTCCCCTCACTGTGCCTTTCGCACAGTAATACAGGGCCGTGTCCTCGACTTTCAGACTGTTCATTTGCAGATACAGTGTGTTCTTGGCGTTGTCTCTGGAGATGGTGAAGCGGCCCTTCACTGCGTCTGCGTATATGCTACTACCACCACTGCTACCAATGGATGGGACCCACTGCAGGCCCTTCCCTGGAGCCTGGCGGACCCAGCTCATGCCATAACTGCTGAAGGTGAATCCAGAGGCTGCACAGGAGAGTCTCAGGGACCCTCCAGGCTGACTCAGGCCTCCCCCAGACTCCACCAGCTGCACCTCACACTGGACACCTGCAAACACAAAGACATCCTGGTCAGGAAACCGTCACACATATCCACTGTTTTTCTCACCCATGCCCATTCAAATGCATTTGCTCCCCATAAAATACCTTTCAAAACAGCAACAAGGAAAACCCAGCTCAGTACAGACTCCATGGGGACTTTCTGTGTTCAGTCCAGATCACTGAATGGGGACACTTGGAATCCTGATGTTGGGGCTCCTCTCCCAGAGCTGCAGGGCTGGGGCTGGGCTTGTTTTCATCGGCTGAGCAAAGAGCCCTATTTGCATAGCTTCCTCCTATATAGCAAACTATGGGGTTGGATGACTTCAGAGAGGGCAGTGATTCAGAGCAGATATAAGTGTTCTGGGGACTTGGACGGCAATGACAGCATATGGGGAAATGTAATTTCTCCTTATGTGGTTGTGCTGAGCTAAACCCTTAGTTCCCATTACTTTATTCAGTGTCTCATATGCACACAAACCACGTGAGGTAGATGTCAACATACCTTCATTTACAAATGTAAGAAAACAAGCACCTGTGCCCTGGGGTCTGTGAGGTGTGGACAAGCATTTACTGGATAATGAAAATCCCTCGTCTGGGTCTGTGCTCCTCACCACGGAACTGACTGCCCCCTGAACCTCCTGCAGGTCAGAGCTGGACTAGGTTGAGTCCTCTACAATTTGTATAAATGGAATCAAGCATGATGCACTGTTATCCATTTAGTTCCGTCCCCTCAGTGTTATGTTGGAAGTGATTCTGTAACATGTATTCTAAGGTTAGTAACAGCAATAGCTGTGCATACATAACCTCAGGAGCTCTGGTCACACGGTGGTTAACACATCCTGCTGCCTTCTCTGGTAAAGGGGTACAGCTGTGGGAACTGGAAGAGGCAGTTCTCTGTCCAGTGTGGTCACTATCCTTCAGAAATGATTCTTCGGCAGTAGGTTTGGCTTTGACATGTATCTCAGATTGTTTCCTTATTTATCTTTTACTGAGTATTGCACTGTTTCCATTTTCTAGATGTGACAAGGAAAACTGCCACCCTACTTGGAGATGTTGAGATCTCTGAATATGGAAACTCATTCTCACAACAACACAGGAATGTGGTAAACAGAGTTGCCAACCTCTCCAGACAACTGCTTCTCCCTTCCCTAAGTATAAAATCTTGATCTGTTTGGGAAGAGCTGCAAACAGAAGCAGCTAACCCCCTTAACCTAAACCCTCTCCCATATTAACAACTGTGAAGTAAAAAGAACAATGAAATGCACCTGGAAAAGTTCAAAGGAAAGGATTATCTCAGATTGGAGAACCACAGAACCACAGCCTATCAGAAATTCATTAACAGGGAATCGCTACAGGAATGTGAGGTCTGGTGCCCATTCAAAAAACATCCTTCCACTGGCATGGCACTTCCATGGCAACAGTAAATTCAGAATGAAGCCCAAATAGATCCACACAAACCTCCACAAAAGATCTAAAAGGGGGTTGGTTGTGATCATCTCCACATAAGTAATTATATCAATGACACTAACATTAATACCAGGAGCTTGGGTAGCATAGTGCCTAAAGCACTTGACAGCTAACCAGAAGGCTGGTGATTCAAACCCAATAGCCACTCCTCAGAAGAAAGGTTGGGCAATCTACTTCCATGGTGATACTGCCTCGGAAACTCAAGAAGGGGTTGCTATGAGTCAGGGCCAACTGGATGGAACATAACAACAACAACAACAACAACATTAACACCAAAATCGAATACCCTCTATAATGTGCTTGACCTTTAACAACTAAAAGTCTAACTTACATTAAAGAACAAGAAAATAGTCATACTGGACAAATTATGAAGATGTGATTTACATGTAACCCAGATGTTAGGTGATAGTCTATCTCTCAAATGTAACAGGGTGTGAAAAATAGCATCACCATATTAGAGGCTCTATAGCGAATGGTAGACTGACAACTGGATCAGACAGGCATCTTCAGGAGAATGACAGAAGCTATAAGAAAGTGTCAAATGGAAATGCATGGAAATTAAGAGAAATAGCAACATGGTAATTGGAATGAGCTGTGTCGTCAGTAAACTGATTGATAGATTTTGAAAAAAAAATGTGAAAATAAACTAAGACCTAGAAAATAGATGAATAAAAATTACATGGATTGATATGCACACACATACATTAGCATACAGTTACATACATTAGCATACAGTTGCACACATGCACATGCTCCTATTGTCACACACTAGTATTCACACTCATGCATACTCACACACACGCATTCCCATGAACACTCTCATACAAACTCACACACAATTACTCGCAATCTCCACACTCATACATTCTCACACAGATGTGTCCCAATTATCTAACTGATATCATCTTCAAAGACAGACCCTATATCCTACTGAGATCACAGTCACCAGAACAGTGGTTCTGCAGCTTATCTTTCAGGAGGACACAATTAAATTTATAACAATGTCCATGTAGAACCTGATGTTAAGATCTGATTCCCACTCACAGTGCAGACTTCAATTCTCTCCCCACCTCTGTCATGGTCAGTATGCAGCTGGACTCACTGGAACTAGTTTATTGAATCATTCATCATAGTTTCTCTATTTAATTTTTTTGTAGCTGCCAGAACATGCTTGGTCCTACCCGATTCCTATGAAATTTTCCTGGAAAAAGACACCTTGTGGATCTTGCTACAGTGACTAGGAAATAAGCGGTGTGCTACTGCCCTGGGTCCCTTCGTGTGGGGTAGAGATCCCACCAGGGAAGAGGGGAAACCTGGCCCAGACAATTTTATTGGGGTCAGGCCAGCCCCCATTGGAGACCTGGTGGACAGCTGAATATTTTGGTGTACAGTTTTGACTCTAAACTGGGACCCCATGAGGGGCCACCATGAGCTAACATCCACCATATTCACAGGTGTCCATCAGTATGACCTGGACGTGCACACCTGTGTTCTCTGCTCCTGATGCAAAGAGCCGAAATTCGTCTTTGGGCAATTGTTCAGCCTCTGGGTCTCAGGTTTCTTGTATTGCTATTGGAGAGTTAGGGAAGATGTTATCTGAACAGACTTCTATGAGTGTTTTTGTTTATTTTTCTCCAACATTCACCATCACAGAGCTTTGAATTTCTCCAAATATTTTGGAACGTATAAATGCCTAATTAAAAGAAGAAGAAGCAGCTCATTTTTACAACAGAGAGTGTTTCACGGTGCATTTTGTCAAGAGTGTTTGGCTATGAACATCTGAATGCCTCATGGGGGTAGGAGATGGACGTGGACCCCAGGACAGGTGGAGGAAGGGACACGAGATGCCTGCTGTACTTGGGGCCCTGAGGTTCACTTCCCTCACATTCTGGCACTGGGATCACAGGACCATGGAGGAAACTATGGAAGCCATTTGCTGGTCATGGGTACAGAGGTGGAATTAATAAAATAACATCCTGAATACTGCCATAAGACATGCCTTGGCAAACGGAGGCAATTTATCCTGCTGTTTAAGAAATAGCTATTCCATTGTGCACGTGGATTATGAGCACCCCTGTAAGCAAATCCCTCCATTCTCCCCCAAGCGAGGTTTCTGTCTGGGCTCCCACACACTCCCAGCCTCGCAGAGCCCGTGTTGTGGACTCTCAGGCTGTTCATGTGCTGCTGTAGCATATGATTGGTGCTGTGTCTGCAGATGGTGGTTCACCTTTCACAGAGTCGTGTGGTGGTTATGTTTGTGTGTCAACTTGGCTGGGCCTGGGTGAGTGGCTGGGCAGCTGCTGGTAGTTATTCCCCATGATGAGATTGGCAATCTACTCCATGGTGGGACCTACCACAAGCAGCTGAGGAGCTGCCTTTGGGATGTGGTCTGCTTCCCGCATACAAGAAGCAGCTTTGAGAATGGTCTCTAGCTTATGGCATGCTTGGACCATGCACGTAGCCTTGTCATTGTTCAGCAGCCTGCCATGCTCTGCTGATCTTGGGACTTCCAGGGGACTTGAGTCCATGGTCTGTGAAATTGGCAACATCAGGACTGTGACATTTTATTTGTCGACCTTGGTCTTGTTAGCCTCAGCAGCCAGCAGCTGTCTGAGTAAAGAGCATCAGTGGGCCGGGAACAGGAGGCAGAGCTGAAGCCCAAGGTTGAGAGGCTTTCACACAGCTCCTAGAGCCTGGCACTTTGAACATGGACTTGTTGTTGTTATATGCCAT